TATATTTGGATCAAACATTCAGGCCATTAATGATATGAAATCATTGTTATGCAATAACTTTGATATGAAAGACCTCGGAGAAGCAAGCGTGATCTTGGGTATCAAGATCACGAGACCCGACCAAGGAATTTCTTTGGATCAATCTCACTATGTGGAGAAGATCTTAAAGAAATATAAATACTTTGATTGTAAACCTGCATGCACTCCGTATGATCCAAGTGTGAAACTGTTTAAGAATACTGGAGAAAGTGTCAAACAAGCAGAATATGCGAGCATCATTGGCAGTCTTAGGTAATGCCACTGATTGTACTAGACTCGACATTGCATATGTCGTAGGATTGTTGTGCAGATTTACAAGTAGGCCGAGTAACGAACATTGGCAAGCTATTGAGCGAGTAATGAGGTACCTTAAAAAGGACTATGGACCTCGGCCTACACTATCAGAAATTTCCTGCTGTACTAGAAAGGTATAGTGATGCAGATTGGAACACCTTATCGGATGACTCCAAAGCTACTAGTGGTTATATATTTAGTATAGCCGGAGGAGCTGTATCTTGGAAATCAAAGAAACAGACCATTCTGGCACAGTCCACAATGGAGTCTGAGATGATAGCATTAGCTACAGCTAGTGAAGAAGCAAGTTGGTTAAGATGCTTGCTAGCTGAGATCCCTTTATGGGAAAAACCTATACCAGCTGTGTTGATCCACTGCGATAGTACCGCGGCTATTGCAAAAGTTGAGAACCGTTACTATAATGGTAAAAGACGTCAAAATAGAAGAAAACATAGCACTGTAAGAGATTGTATATCTAAAGGAGCTGTGAGAGTGGATCATGTACGCACTGATGAGAACTTAGCAGATCCTTTGACGAAAGGATTAGCTAGAGAGAAAGTCCATAATACATCCAAAAAGATGGGACTAATGCCTATGAAGCAATTAGTTACTCATGATGGTAACCCGACCTAAATGACTGGAGATCCCAAGACTTAGGTTCAATGGGTAATAACAAGTTGTGAGTAATATGAAAATGATCATGCAAGTAAAGCATGAATCCTGAAGTAATGACAGGATGAGATAATAGAAACTCTTAATGATATCTATTCTCTGTATGAGGGAGTACCTAGGCTACAGGAGTACTCTTGATAGATTCACCTATGTGACTGTGGAACTGAGGCCGGTTCCTATGAAATTTCGAGGCAGAATTCCTAGAGCATTCACTAAACCGGGATACACGTGCAAGGCCACTAAAGCACGGGCTATAAGAATACACCTTACGAAAAGGTTGTGTGCGGGTCTGATGTCCGAGATAGAGTTCAAGACAATAGTGTCACTCTTGTTGAATCAGAATCCTACTCGCTACGCTAAGGTTCAAGTCGTAGACACCTTTGCTTATGCACAATCTTAGAAACGTTAGATGGACTTCTAAAATTTCCTTTAAATTCAAGTGGGGGATTGTTGGAACTATAATAATTATAGTAATAGAAATTGAAAAGTGAATTTGAAAAGTTTCATATTAGTCCCACATTGGATGTTGGAATTATATTAATGGGAATTGGAAAGTGAATTTGAAAAGAGTCATGTTAGTCCCACATTGGATGTTGGAATTGTATTAATGGGAATTGGAAAGTGAATTTGACAAAATTCATTTTAGTCCCACATTGGAGGAATGGAAATATCAGCCTCACTAGCTACCTATAAATAAAGGGTAAAAATTCAGTAGTGAGCACTCCGGATTTCACAAATTCACACGAATTTTGATTTCTCTCTCTCTTCCTTAATTCTCTTCATCTAAACAATTTTCTTTTCTTGGTTTTTTCGACTGGCTATTACAGCCAGATACTGGACTGGCTATTTTCGCCAGATAATTTAGAAAGGTGTATTTCTAGAGCGATTTATCAGTGTGCAACTGATAATCGTAATTTTGAACGGGCTGTTTTATCCTGGAGGCGTCGTCGTAGATCGACTGCTTTGCATATTTTGGCAGTACGGCGAAACGTCTTAAAGAAAGCGACCTAGTACGCGACTCGTCCCGATAATTTCCTTGTGCCAATATTTCAAATCCGAAAACAACAATGAGTGAACAATATCCTAAAAAAATTAGTTGAACAAATATGATTTGATGGTGAACAATGGTAGGAGAAAGATGAACGTTGACGAACAATGATTATGGAATTTAAAACTAGAGTTCAAGAAAAGGGTTTAGAGTTTAAATACTTGTCTTTTTTTTATAATTAGATTAGAGTATGTTTAATACTATTTGAAGAAAATTTTTACTTAAATTTTTTTTTGAAAAAAATTGAGCGAACACAATAATAAAGGTATAATTTTTTCTTTTAATGTTTGTTTTCTCCAAAAGCAATTATGCCTACAAGTTATCTCTATGTCACCACCATGCGCAATTGACGAGAAGATTACCATTTTGAATGGTTGTGTAAGCACCGTAATGTGATTAGTAAAAAATATGTCTCATCTAAACTTCTCACTCACATAAAAAAGAAAAACTAACTTGAGTTTTTGTAGATACTCCACATGCAACTAAAATACTATGTTTATTATTATTAAATTAAAATGAAATAGAGAAACATTAAAATTAGCGGTGCAAAGAAAAAAGGTAAATTGAACCATATCCATAAAATATAATTGCCTTGAATAAAAAAAAATTGAACCGTTAAATAATTAATGAATGAGTACATTTTATAAACAATTCATTAACAAAAATTAAGTTAAAATAAGTTTAAACTGTTTAACAAATTGCTTATATATATTTTGAAAATATAAAATACAATTAGCAAAAAACAATCCAACCATAATTTAAAATAAAAAGATATTATTACACAAATAATTAACTTTAGAAATATTTTCACAAAATATTCAATTTTGTAAATATTTTAAGTTAATAATTAAAAAATGAAATACTTTATTTTTAAAAAAATTTCCTTGATAATAAAAAACATCAAAATAACTTATTTATTTTTTTAATTTTTTCCATGAAATAAAAAAACCAGAAATTTATATTTTATTTTGGAATTTTAGTTTTTTGAAAAAAAAATTTCTAAATAAATTTTTTTGAAAAGTTAACTTATTTTTTTTTCTAAAACTGAATAAAATCTCAAATAATTTTTTCTTCAAAAAGACTAAAAAGTTTATTTTTTTTAAAAAGAAAATGTTTTCTTAACATAAGTTATTTATAAATTAGAAAAATTATTTTAAGAAAAATTAATTATTATGCACTGTCACCATTATTTATTTGCATTACTTTATAAATAGTTAAAATAAAAGTCAAATTTTTTTCAATATTCAACATCTATAATTAATTGACTATATAAACTTCTTTTACACGCTTAGGCTTAGCGTATTGCAATTAGGGGTGGAAATAGGCTGGACTGAGATAACATTTGTCAAGTCTAAGTTTGACCTGTTAAAAAAATGAAAGTCTAAATCTGACATGTAACCTGTCATAAACTTATTTTTAAGTCTGAGCCGACCCTTTTCTAAGACCTGGTTAACATACATAAAAACTTATTATTTTAGAAATATGTAAATAAGTAATTAAAATAATGTTTAAATAGGCTAAGAAACTAAAAAAATTATTGACTTATTTTAACTTACCTATTAACGTAAGTTTTGTGAGACTGTTTGTTTAAGAAAATTTATAAAAACAACTTATAACATTATTCATAAGGTTTTTTCATCTTATTTTCATAAGTTCTACAAGATAATTCATTTTTATTTATATATTTTAATTTAAAGTATAAAATATAACATAGTGATAATAAAAGAAATTATTCATATTTATTTAAATAGGTCGGTCTGTTAGGGTTAAAAAGTTTTTTATAGCATGAGGTCTAATAAAAGAATCTACGCGTTTTGTATTTAAAAAAAAATTTGGTATGTCCTAAGCCGGTATAAACTAATCTCTAAGCCTCTGTCATTAGCTTGGTCTATTTTCATCCCTAATTGCAATTAAATTCTTGTTAAAAATATATTTTTCTTTAACTATAACTGGATTTTAGAGATGGCATCGGGGCGGGACGGAGGCGGGTTTAACTATACCCACACTCGCACCCCGCCTTCATCTAAGACACGTCTCCGCCCCCACACTTAACACAAGATAAAAATTTACTGTTCAAACCCGCCCTAAAATGGGTGCACCCGCCGGTAAAAAATTAATTTTTTTTAATTGCAATAAAAATTAATAATTTAATTAAAAAATTAATTAATTTAATAAATTAATTAATTATTTAATAAAAATTTAATTAGTAAATAAATATTTAACTTGATTAATTTGATTACTTTAATTGAAATAAGGGCACTAATAATTTAATTAAAAATATAATTAGTAAATAAATATTAAAATAAGTAAAATAAAAAAGTTAAAATAAAATGTATTATCTAAATGAGGAGAGGCGGGTGCGGACGGATCTTATTGTCTTCCTGCACTCACACTCGTAATTAAAAATCAGATTTCTCCCGCACTTGCACTCACACCCACACTCAATTAAATTAGATTTTTTTCGTTAATTTCAAAACTACAAATTTGAAATGCAGACGAGTCCGAATTTGTAGGTCATCCTTATTGAATTTACAATAGTTTAACATATAAAACTGATTTATGAATACAAATTTATTATAAATCAATTTAGGAATTATAATTTTTTTAACCTAATACAAAATTGAAACTCTTTTATTAGTTCGTTGGTAATTGCAATTCGTGAAGCAAAGTAAGTCACCTAATTGAAACACCGTTACGGCAGGGGTTTCCCCGATACAGTGAGTAATAAAATAAATTGTTGTGTGGCTGTCTGCGTGGCCACGATTACAATTCTTAAACATTCTTCTAGAACATGTAATCCTAATAAGTCAGAGTATCAGTATCAGAATCTCTTTCTATTCTTTTTTATACGCAAAAATTCCTTGAATAATTGATGTACGAGTCTATATATAATCTAAATTAGACTCTCACCCGTTCCGTTCGTTCCTTCTCCCCGACCCAAACTGTCATGCTGTCTGCCCCACTCCTTCAACCTGGTTTGTTATTCACTCACCTTCTTCTTTTTCTTTCATCTATTCAACATGTCTTTTTTTTCCTTCTTTTTTTCAATTTTCTTCTTCTGAATTATGCCAATTTAACGCCAAAACTGTGTTTCCTCACTACAAGGAATCATTCCTTCAATTTCCCCATTTTCTCATTTTCTTTCATTATTAACCAACCTTTCAAATCATGGTTTTTTTTGTTAATAAAATTAAGTTAGGAGGACATGTCTATCTAATTCCCAACTCATATATTCTTTATCATTTGCCTCGTATTAGTAATTTGACGATCTCGGTAAGTTTTACAGAGTTGAATTGTTCACTAATTTGTCGCCACAGTTTTGAGATTGGGAATAGAGTATTTATTTTTAAAGAAAGAATGCTTTTTGTATAGAATAATAAATAAATGATTGTGATTAATATAATTTTTAATAGTTACTCAAAAGAATTATAACAACCTATATATGTTTTGGAATATTGCAACTTCCTTTATTTATTATTATACTGTGCTAGCAGAAATTATGGAGGCAGCAGAGGCACCAATTCCCTCAGAGTCATTATGGGATCAGATAACCAAATTCACAGCCACGATGAATGCGGCGTACAGAAGAAAACCAATCCCTTATTGGATTCTTCTTTTTCTCGGCATCATTGCAATGGTTGTGGCGTTTCCAGCTTCCAGCATTCTGTCTCGTGTTTATTACGCCAACGGCGGCCAGAGCAAGTGGATCATATCTTGGATAGCTGTTGCTGGATGGCCTCTCATTGCATTGATATTGTTTCCTACATACTTCATTACGAAAACCTTTCCGACTCCGCTTGGCTTAAAACTGTTTCTGTCTTACATTGTTTTGGGTTTTCTAAGTGCTGCTGATAATCTCATGTATGCTTATGCTTATGCTTACCTACCTGCATCTACTGCTGCTCTTGTTGCGTCGTCGTCTCTTGTGTTTTCTGCACTTTTCGGATACGTTCTTGTCAATAACCGGATGAATGTTTCTATAGTAAATGCCCTTTTTGTGATAACGGCTGGATTGACCATCATTGCTTTGGATTCAAGTTCAGATAAATATGATAACATCAGTAACAATCAATACATAATGGGATTGGTATGGGATGTTTTAGGTTCTGCACTTCACGGACTTATCTTCGCACTCTCCGAGCTGGTTTTCGTTAAACTACTGGGGCGGAGATCGTTTGTAGTTGTTCTGGAACAGCAAATCATGGTTTCATGGTTTGCATTTCTGTTTACGAGTATAGGGGTAATTGTAAGTGGCGATTTTCGAAGAATTTCATCCGAGGCTACTATCTTCAAAGGAGGTAAAAGTGCGTATTATCTTGTTCTCGTTTGGGGTGCAGTTACTTTTCAGTTGGGGGTTTTAGGGGCAACTGCTGTGATTTTCTTGGCTTCAACTGTGCTTGCTGGTGTACTTAATGCAGTAAGAACACCAATAACAAGTATTGTAGCTGTTATTCTGTTACATGATCCAATGAGTGGTTTCAAAATCCTATCACTATTGATTACCTTTTGGGGATTTGGATCATATATTTATGGCAGTTCAATGGATCATAAACAATCTTAAGAATTGCTCCCTAAATTGTAAATTGGACTCCGTTCATATTCTCTTAAAAAGTTCTGAATATTTGAGTATATTTTTAATTGTGTGTGCAAGTTACAGAGTTTTGAATTGAACATTCCATAAATGCTAGATGCTCTTAGAGGATGAATTGTAACAATTTTGAATGGTAACAAAACTAGTTTGAATTGTTGGATTAAAATGTTCTCTATCATAAATATAATGGATGATACCTAAACACTCCCTCTCACTTCTCCTCCATCTCAATGTTGACAACATCCCTTTCATCTTTGTTAGCTAATCAGACCTCTATAAATGCTTCATCTTTATTTTAATTTACACACCATTTGATGACAATGAGCATCTTCAAGGCAAGTCCAAGAGCCAGAAGCACCCAAATCAAATCTGATACCAAAATAAGAGAGAAAGACATATTGGTAGAATCTTCCATAAAGATTTTAACTGTCCCACATTATTGTCTTTCAAAGCTTGACTCACATTACATGTTTTGGCCCTATGTTTTTCACCCCAATTTTCAAGAGCATAAAAGAGTAAGTGATGTGCAACACTGATTTTAGGAGTGTGAAAAAAAATCAATTGCTTTCAAACTGTTTTAGTTATTTAAACTCAATCTAAAAGTTAAAATATAAATGAGTTACTTTATCCATTTCATGGAGCGGTAGTTCACCACGGTGAAAAATCAAAATATTCTTAATTTTCGAAAATACATCTATTAGTGTATCTTTAATACACATACATCACTATTTTGTATAAATTTAATCCGGAAATGCATACACTTCTGTAACTTTAAAACCTTACAAAATTTAATCTGAAAATACATGCCATAAACTTAAAACTTTAAAAGGATTATGAAATCAATCTGCCAAAAAAAAAGTCATTCTTAATTTGAAGTGTTTATGCATTAACAATGAATAATGAATTAAGACTATAAAAAATGGTATTGTTAAATAATTGATGGAAAGAAAGGAAGATGGCTCAAGTGGTGATTTACAAAATGATTTGTGGTTTAATAGTTAACATTCTTAATTTCCTTTCACTTGCTTCTGCTTTTTTCACCCATGCTCTATGCACTGCATTTCCTTTCACTTTACAGCAGGTATGTTTTATTTCCTAATGTTTTTTCAGCAAACATTTTACTGTTGTTCATGAAAGTGTGAGAAAATACAATCGCATTTGATGGAGAAAATGTTAGAACAAAATTTTAATTTTGCATATAATCTCTAGTTTTGTCGATAAGAATACATGTATAAATATATGTAACAATTTTGTATTCTTATATTTTTTTAAAGTGTACAGATATAAAGTTTAATTTGATTTTGGATAGCTCTTTAGAATATCATCAGAATCAATTCTGACACGCCTCAAAAAACTACTTCGACCGCATCTGAAGAAACATCAACAATTCTGGCACGCCGAACTCAAAAAAGTCCATCCAGCCTCTCAACGGGATGCTCGCATCGCTCCCCCGTTTCGTAGCCAAATCCGCCCAACGCGCCCTTCCCTTTTTCAAACTCCTCCGCAAAGAGGTCGCGTTCGAATGGACAGAGGAATGTGGCAAAACCCTCCTTTACCTGAAGCCAGCCCTGTCCACGCCACTGGTCCTCACCTGGCCAGAAAGTGGAGAAACCCTGTTTCTTTACCTCGCCTTCGCATCTAAGGCTGTGAGCGTCGCCCTCATCCGTGAAACTCCTGACGAGCAGAAACCCATCTATTTCATGAGCAAGGCACGCAGGGACCAGTGTAACACCCTTTTCTACCCCACAAATATTATGGCAAAATAAACAAATTTATTAGAGTAAATTATTGAAACGCAATAAAATCACCTCAAAGGGCGTACATTTCTCAATAAATTCAAATCAGGGTCAATGCTCCATAAGCAACGAGTTTTCTCAAAATTACTCAAAAGTGTTCAAATGGCAGCGGAACTCAAAAGGGAAAATCCAAAGTTTTCCTTTCACCGCAAGGAAATCAACATAACAAAAATTCAATAAAATATAGTTTGACTTAAAAGACCCCAACCCGATGTTACACTATCAGAGCAAGACCCTCTAAGTTAACCACAATGGCCAACGACCTAAAACTTCAAAACGTCCTCGATGGTATCCACGGCTAAACCTGGTCATCTGCATGTTACCCACGTCGAGACAACATTCAAACAGGCAGGGTGCGTAAAACGATTCATAATAATCAATATAAGAATCAATATATAAAATACATCATTTTCATATTCAACATCATCATAATCATCAAAGAACATCAAAGGTCACGACATTATAAATTACACCAAATTGTCACATAAATGCAAATGCAACAAGATTCATGCATGTGGTATAAATCAACAAAATTCGATGGACACTGGGTCATCAATCCTCCATAGATCCATAACAGTAGGATCGATTCTACACGAGAACCTGAGCACAACAAAATACCTCACATCCATACAATGGGACTGAAGCCACAAGAATCAAGGTCCTAAACTGAAGTACAAATGCATATGAATGCATGATGCATATGTCAATATCATCCTCATAATAAACTCATTAGGTGCATCATCATTCGTCAAAATCATCATAATAATCATGTCATCATATAATCATCAAAACTCATGGAATCAACATCATAACTCATCATTATTACTCATAGGAATTTATCATACAATCATGTAATTATCACATAAAAATTACAATTATACTCATGGTAATTCATCAAGAAAATCACAGCCTCAAAACATCAAAATAGCACTGCGCAAGCATACACACAAGTATTCGATAAATTATCCGCCAATAATTTCACAACCGACATCAAACATTGCAACAATTCATTAATAGAACATATACTCAATTGACTTCCCAAACATATTAGATATAAAAATATTGGGCAACCAATTATCTTATCTATACTATGTTATAGCCATGTTCATTAGTTTTTCAACACTTCGAACGGGGACCAAAACGGACTTACAGATCAAAAGTTACGTTCAAAACGATTTCGACCGAAAACATGAACAGTCGTGACGGACAACATGCAGAATTTTTTGCGTTTTTCACCGTTGGAGGCCTTCCGGACTTCCGATTTTGATTCCGTAAAAACTAAAACTCTCAAAAAATTACAAATCGTCAAATACTGTAATTATCTCAAGTAAATTTACAATTTTAACACAATCAAACCATATAATCATCGTTTTAAGATTATGCCTAAAACCTTTAAAATCAATGGATATAGGTTCAATCCCGTATCATATTTACGCCTCCAGTTCCCATAATTTCTTACAGATACCTTACAGTCATTAAAGTTCTCACAATCCCATAATTTCTTACAGATACCCCACAATCATTAAAGTTCTCAAAATCAATTACTCTATATGGTTAAAACCTTAACAACAGATTTTGGCCGCGAAAGCCAAATTTCCCTTATCTCAAATCAGCCTCAAACCTATCAGACCATTAGTTCAAATCCCTCAAACGCATTAAACTCACCAGAAATTCCCATAAAAATCCTTACAATTTCCCACATTCATTATGGGAGGACAAAGCCTCATATACTATACATGTGTGTTTCGATGATGTCAAAACGCAACCACATGAAAGAATCGATACTCGACATGATCACCACAAGGCATAAGCATACCTTATCTCTTACGTCTCATTTTCATGCATGTTGTGTCATCCAATTAGCGTCATTCGAGTCAAACATCATTGGTGGATCATATGTTGCATCTAGAAGTGTCAAAAATATAAAAATATGCATTTTTGCAAAATACAGGTCTTTGAGTCGACCACTCATTTTGCTCCGGTCGACTCATAGAAGGTGTCTAAAAAATGTATTTTCCACGGGTTGGCGCACGTCGACCTCCGGTCGACGCATACTGTTCTTATTTCCGTTTGTCTAAAAATACAGACTTTGCGTCGACGCATGGTCCTGTTTTGGTCGACGCATAACCTGTTACTTTGCATAATTTGTTCTGTCTGGGGAGTTTCAGTCGACCACTCCTTTTTGTATTGTGGATCGTTCGCTGTCTTTTTGCATAATTCTGGTCTTTCCACTTATTTCAAAAAATGGTTTTGTCTGTTATTTTTGGCATACTATAAATAGAAAGTTGCTCATTTTTCATCTACAAAATTTTTGAATCAATTGCAAAACAAGAAAAGTGAAAGAGGTGTCATTAGTTATCACCATCTTCATCTTCTACATTTCATACCACAATAATCACACACAATAATCTTTGTTGTGCATTATGGTTTGTTTGAAGTGATAACGTCCGAAGCCGTTGATTGGGAATCCGGTTTGGGTTGAGATTTTGGTAGGTTTTTCTTGAATAAAACCTTGAGGGTTTTGTCCTCCAAGATTCATTGAATTTAGGGGTTTTTTGGTACGAATCTTCTCAACATATATTCAGCTGAGCGAAGGTGATCGAGGAGCGGTGGGTTCCGTCGATCTAGTAGCGGGAATCCGTGAATTGTGAAGGAGAGGTTCGGGTTCGATTGGCAAGTGTTTGATATCAGCCGGGTTGGGTTTGAAAATGCAAGGTTGTTCAACCAAGGAGCTGTAATCGGAGGTTCATCCACAAGCAATCGAAGGACTTGATTCGACTCGAATCAAGGGACAAGAAGAGAAATCATATTCAACAATAAGGAAGTTTGTTTGTTCATTTGCTATTCCATTCTTGTATAAACGATTCAACAACAGGTTACATTTATATTATACGAGCTCAATTCTAGTGTTAGAATTGAGGGCAGACGTACCCTGAAGCGAGGACGGCGGGGGAACTGCCTCAATAAATCTTTGTGCCTTTTACTTTTCACATTTTCATTTTGCTTAATATTTGCGTGAATTTCATTCAAACAATAATATCGAATTAAGGACTGTTTTGAGTAAGTGTTGAAGTAATTTTGACTATAGTACAATAGTTTATTGTACAAGAAAACTAGTGCTACTTACTCAAAGCCGAAATCACTTGGAGTGCTCCGCACGCCATGTGTTTGATA